TCCAACTCCTAACTTTGGCCAAAATTCTCTCCACTAGTGAAAAGCAGTGTTGTTTTCTCAACCATGACGTAAGGGGAACCCCCAGGCACCTAATAGGTAGAGTCCTGTTAATGAATCCAAACAAGTTTATGATCTGATCTTCAATTGCTTCAGGGCTAGCTAGAAGATATTTATTGATTTTGAGAGAATTAGAATGGAGTCCTGATAGGCTTTGGAAAGTGTCCACTGCTTCTTTGAGGATAATTGTTAACTTAAGGTAACCATTACACATTATAGAAGGCAAGGACATCTTGAATGAAGTGATGAATAGGGAATTTGAGGCCAACACGAAACGCTGAGGTAAAGAAACAGGTCATCCCAGGAATAGATGAGTTGTATCTCTTGTACTCCTTGGGAGAATGAAGTAGAATAGAAGCTTAAAAGGAGTATTTCTCTCTCAGGGCCTCCAAGTCTTCATTGTTGATACGACTTAGAGTCGACTCGGCACAGCAAGTAAGATTAGAAAGGTCAGACCTTTTTCCTTTTAGGGCCAGAGGAAACTGGAACAGCTTTGGACCCTCTTTTTTGGCACGGCTCGTGACAGTTGGGAGCAAAGCCAATGGAGGCTCGACGGAGCAACTTGAAGTTGAAACCATGGGAACCGATCTAGGATCTTCTGGATCTGACACCCTATTGCAAAGCTCGAATCTCTGTACTAAGACTAACGAAAATTAACCACCCTCAACCGGGATAGTGTTGCCAATAGAAAGTTCCTCGCCACCAGGGGGCCCAGGCCTTTTTAGAACAACCACTACTATATAAATTCAAAACCTACTCAACACTCTCATCACTTCTCTCTCCGAACACAAGATTAAAAGAAGTATCAGATACGACTCTCCCCATTGGGGCTTTGAATTGTAACCCAGAATGGAAAGAAGGCAGATGCAAAGCACAATCCATCAAAAATAGTGGAACTAAACTCCAAGATCAGATCAAGGTTAGCCTCAACAGAAGGGGTTAATCTACAAACCACAAAAGAAAAGCAAACTATAGGAATGACGCCAAAAGTAACTAAACCTCCAAATAATGAAATGGAACACGTAGCCCCACTAGCTAGGGTTAAAGGGATCCAGAACAAAAGAAAGAGAACGGGGTACGTACCTAATGAATGGCTAAGACCACTTCGCAGAAGAACGAAAGCACAAAGTTCTCAGAATCACTGGAAGAATGAGGCAACCACCTTAAAGTCCAAAAAGGGGGAAAGGAGCGTGAAAAGTCAAAAATTCAAAATAATAGCGGAAATGCAAAGGGCATTCCCCCATTTTTATAACATTTATTACCACGATGAGACGAGGGAAAGAACCGTACCAAAGATGCCCTCTCCTCGCAATGCGTGTCTTTTCCTGGCACGCATTTCACATTAGGAACTGAACATGCTATTGGAACAGTGCTAGTAATCATGAGGAATCGTCATCTATAGGGTAATCATTGCGGCAGAAAAGTCAATTTTAATCCCATGATGGAGCTAGAAGGTCATCCTCCTGACCTGGGGTTAGGGGGCAACTGATGATGATGGATTTAAGTCTGAGCCCCCTCTAGAGCCCAAAACCCTTTGGGCTCACAAAAGGCTGCCCAAGCATCTCATTTGGACAGAATTCATTGGGTTCAAACTGGACCACGACCCAGTTCCATAGAGGCCTGAAACAAACAAGTTCAAAATAGTTGTCAGCTCGACGTTGATGACCCTAGTATAGGTGTCAGCTCGGGGAACGGGAGCACGACACCAGGCTAGTCTACAGGAGCTGCAGCATGACATGTGGGAAAGAGACAAGGGGACCATACCTAACAATTCTGATGAATGAAAACTCATCGGTAGTGGAGATGGCTCTCGCATTGCAGTCGATGAGTAGTGGGTGCAGAAGAGTATAAGGGATTATAGCTCCAGTAACAAGACAAACATAGAGTAAAACCACAAAATCAACAAAAATGAATCAATACGAAAATCCTATCGGCCAAATGTATAAATAACTAACGATACTACGCAGAGAGTCATTTAGAAAACTATTCAGCAGTAACCTAGACAATATTCTGTAAAAGGTTTCAAGCCAAACTCCTTGTAACTGTAGTCTTCTTCTCCAAGCAATAATTTTTTCAATGAGCAAAAGCCTCCCTTACAACGTACACTTAGTTTTTCGGCTAAAGCGAACCACTCATACTGTTGTTGCATTATACACACATACGCATATACCTTTGCATACACACGCATTCGCTGGGCCATATTCCAGGTTGTTCTATAGTCCAGTTGATTTCGAACACCATCATTCATAATTCAACAAAAAAAAAAGAGAGAGAAAATAACCAGAAAACCAAGAATAATCATTTACCAAACTCGAAAGCCAACATATCTTCCATTGAAAAAAAACAAACTTCTCTCTCTTTTTCCTTTATGGATTCTTTTACTATGGTGCAAAGCCCTAGTGTAAAACTGGAGGATGGAGAGTACCTATGGCAGATTAGAAGGACAAAAGGATGAATTTCCATTATAAATAGATCTTCGTCCTACAATGCAGAATGCATTCGACAGTTTATTCAATTTCATTGAACTTTTCGGTGACTGTTCAATCAACAAAGAGCAATATTTTCCTATAATGTGAAGGCATTTCATAGCAGGAAATACTATTTAGACTTAAAATGTGAACTTAAAATATAAACTTGACCAACCACGCTCATTGATTAGGTGGTGGGTCTCAATAAATATTAGTTATTGCAATGAAATCAATGTTAGTGATTAATTAAGTCTACTTTTTAAATCTATGTAGCATTGCTCTTCATAGCAGGCCACAAACTGGGTTTTGGACTTCTCTTATTATAATTATTATTTTACTCATTTTGTTGAAATATTCGAGAGACTTTGGCACTTAACAATGAATTTTTAAATATAACAGGGCCAATTTTGCATTTTAAACCCATTTAATTGTAATTTTAAATATATTTCTCAATTGAAGATCGTAAAAAAACAAGCTTTTATATTAAAAGTTGTGGATTAAATCATGCTTTCATGTGCATAATGATAAATTAAGGACTAAATTAGAAGCTACAAAAAAAAGTATAAATAAAGTCTAAAAACGAGGGTAACATAATAATTCGGGCCGACAATTTTGAAGGCATGTGACAACAAATAAATCCGTTTGATTCCTGAAATAAATGGATGAACTCAAATCTAATTAAACATAATATGAACTTGCTATACAACTTAAACACAACATAAAATTCATATGATATATAATAACTGAGCCATACAAAGGATTGTAATTGGAATGGTATAAGCCGAATAAATCTTAACACAATACTAAGCAAGCATAATATGATTTTGATATGCACAACCCATTAACAACACTATTAACAGTCGATTCAACTACAATGCTTGTCTAATTTTTAAAGTAGTAATTAATTTACATTAATTTCATAAAAAAAAAAAAAATTGGGTAAATGCAGCGTTATTGTTATCTAAAGTGATCATTGTTTAAACATGGTGTGATGATTGTCACAAGCTTGGCCACGTGTGTGTTACTGCAGTCAGATCATTTCACAGCTTCTCATGCACAGCAACTATGGATAAAATTTTGCACAGGTTTGACACTACATCTAGCACTGTCATGTACGGTCCACACTTTATTGTCACAAAAGCAACTTGTAAGATAAGCTTTTTTTTAAAAAAAAAAAAATTGACAACAAAATTTTTTATTAGTAGCGTACATGCTATCATTTGGTGTGTTAAATCTAAAGAAAAATTTCTCACACTATCCCTTTGTTTGCGTCTGTGAAATTTTCTGGGGGTTGATGATCTCAGTTTGAAGGGATTTGCTTGGCATTTTCTCATAAAGCTTCTCTTTAAACCCCAACAGTCTTCTCTCTCTCTCTCTCTCTCTCTCTCTCTCTCTCTCTCTCTCTCTCTTGTTTTCATGACTTTGTGGGTAGTAGTGACTTGAATCAGTAGGTTCGGATTTGGACTTTAACCTTTGAAGATATTTGAAGATTTTAAGGCAAAGTAAAGCTCAATAAAGCTTAGCAAAGTTTCAAGTGAAAAAGAGAAGAGAAAGATGGTGAAAACTGGAAGTTCAACTTTTGTTAGCTTTCTTCCCATCATTTGGCGAATACAAAGCCAAGCTTAAAAAACATAGATTATGCAGCTATACCACTATATGTAGTCTCTTATGGTTATTTTCATAGATACAATCATCCACGCCTGGTTTAATTGATTACTCTTGGGGTAGAAATAGTAATGGTCCTCAATTGTGCATTTTGGAACTCTATGCTTATCTATTCAATCTTTTGGTTTTAGTCGTTCAAATTTTTTGGAAAAGCTAATGGTACCTAACAAAAAATTCGGCACCTTGATGTTATTTATAATTTTTTATGATAAAGTTACACATTTAAAAAGAGAGTTACAACTGTTTTAGAGAGGGTCATGATCATAGACCACTTCTGATCGATCATGTCTTTTAAAAATAATAATTTATACTTCAAAAAAATTATAATATTTGGCACAATACTTATGGCATTTCCCAAATTTTTAACATATGTGACCTTGTAAGAAGAGAAGAAAGGGTTTAAATGAAGTAACAAAAATATTTATGGGCGTCCCACATGACCATAATTGATAGGTGCTCTTTGAAAAGTTGGGGACCAAAGTAGCAGCACTGAAGGATCAGTTACTCTTTAAATGTGGTCACATGATTAGACACTTAATCAATTCAGTTAGAGAATTTAAACCGTTGTTTTGATTTGTATCAAAGTGTTACAAAGTAAAAATTTGAGAAATTAGAATGACCACGTTAAAAACAATTAAACAAAACAGCCATTAATTTTTTGCGCTTAAGCATTACTGATTTGAACAACCCAAGGATAAAGACCCTTGAAAGAGAGAAAGCGATACTACGTATAAAGCTCTCTCTCTCTCTCTCTCTCTCTCTCTCTCTCTCTCTCTCCATGTTTTGTTAACCTCTTGCATGGACTTAGCCATGGCTAATCAAGGTGATAACAATGTGTTGAGGGATTATAGGAAAGGGAACTGGGCAATCCAGGAAACAATGGTACTAATAGAGGCAAAGAAGATGGACGATGAGAGAAGAATGAAGAGGCAAGAGGATAGCCATGGAAGGGCCAAACCAGCAGAGCTAAGATGGAAATGGGTTGAAGATTACTGTTGGAGAAATGGGTGTTTGAGGAGCCAAAACCAGTGCAATGATAAATGGGACAATCTCATGAGAGATTTCAAGAAGGTGAGAGATTATGAGAGGAGAGTAGGTGAGAGAGGAGGAGGTGAAGAAAGGTCATATTGGATTATTGAAAGGAGTGAGAGGAAAGAGAAGAATCTTCCTTCTAATATGCTGCCGGAGATTTATGAGGCATTGGTGGAGGTGGTGGATAGGAAAGTAAGTCCAAGGGTGGCTTGTGGTGGCTCTGGTGGTGGTGGCGGCGGTGATGGGTCTGGACCGTCTGGTTCCAATTCCCTCATGGCTTATATTGGGGAAAGAGTCACTGTTAATGTTCAGCCTTCACAGCCTCCTCTTCTGCAACAACCCATCACTGCTCCAGTGGCAGTATTATCATTGCCATTACCACCCCCACCCCAATCACCAGCACAACCACCAGGTCTCCCTTATTCTCAGCCATTGCCCACAGTAGGTATTCTCTCTCTCTCTCTCTCTCTCTCTCTCTCTCTCTCTCCACACGCACACCCCCATATAATCAGATAGTTGATTGCTCTTAATGCATTCTTAAATTAACTTGTTGCACCACATAAATGAGGCTAGTTTGATACCCATTTTCCCCTTTCTCTTAATATATGATTTTCTAGCTGATTCCCACTTTCTCTAGCTTTCTCTGAAAAACAAGCGAACACCTCAATTTCTATGGCTTCTTCAATCTCTAGCACTATATTTCTCACAGATATACTGATGACAATGTTTTCTCACTGGAAAGATATGCGGCTTGAGGCCAACATATGATTAATCAGATCTTAATATGTAAATTGATTGGTTCCTTTTGCAATGAATTAAAAATTTTGTTTTTCTTGTATACTTACATTTAAAATACCATACTGCCCCACATGCCTCTTTTATGACCATTATTATTTTTTTTTGTTTCTTTTTTTTGTTTTACCAGTGGAAGGGGGTGTTTGGGCCATCACTTGCATTCAATGCTTTGCTTACAATTTTGCCCTAGGGAAGGGTGACACTTTGACTGTTTCCTAACTTTGGTAGTCATGTGATTCATTCCGAACATGATCAGTCAAATATGTATTACTAATTTTTTTTCGATTATCCGAAATCAGTAGAGATAAGTTGTGTAATCAGATTGGAGTTTTCAGTCCGAATTCATATCATATAAAATCTGGTCAGATCCGTTGGCATGCTTATTTGTCATTGGTTTGCATTTAGTATGGGTTGGCTTGATTCCATATTTTTGTGTTGGAAATGTATGGTAGCCCTCAGATTCTGATACAAGTGAGTATTCAGACTCACCAGCAAAGAGGAGAAGAGGTGAGGGAACCAGTGGTGGCGGGGCTGCAAGTGGTGGTATCTCACAAGAAGTTGGCTCTGCAATCTCCAAAAGTGCTTCCATCATAGCAGAAGCTATTCAGGCAAGTGAGGAGAGAGAAGAGAGAAGGCACAAAGAGCTCTTGAGTTTGCATGAGAGAAGACTACAGATTGAGGAATCCAAGGCTGAGATCAATAGACAAGGCATCAGTGGCCTGGTTGATTCCATTAACAAGCTTGCTAATTCCATTCTTGCTTTGGCAGCCAACAAAAACCAAAATAGTCCTAAGTGATATTATTCAATTAAGAAGGGATTATTGATATGCTAAATATATAGAGAGGCCTGATGAATCCCATTTGACTGTACATAACTTATGAATTGATGATCTTTCTTCTTTTTTTCTCCTTGTTGGGTTCATTTTCATTGCTAATTTATACCATAGTCTCTCTCTCTCTCTCCCTCCACGAGGGAACATATGTATGAAAGCTAGTACTAAAATTCATAAAAAAAAAAAAATATGAAGAGAAGGTTCCTCAAGCCATCACCCCCCCCCCAAAAAAAAAATAAATAAATAAATAAAAATTGGAGTAACCCTTATCTTTAAATTACCACGTTTAACTAACTTAGAAATTGCTTTTTATTAATCCCCACGTTTCACTCATCCCTCTGAAGTGCATGGGTCCCTATAAAAGCCTCCCATATTTAGTTTGGATTTATTTATGCTGTCATTCGGGTTTGCATTCAAATTAGGGTGTCCAATAAGATGGTTAGGGAGTTATTTGAATTCAAAGAGTGGAAGACTACCACTTGATTTAGGAGTTTCCCTTTATCAGGCTATAATCAACACCCCACTATCTCCCTAAATAGAGGTTAGTTTTTTTGAGGTTGAATATACAGAGATAAGGGCTCCTTTTTTGAGATGAAAAACAAAATAAACTCTCTCCATTCTTGTCATTGGAAAATAGACAGACACCTTAGAACTGTAAAAATTTGAGTGTGGTTCTTTTAACTTCACCTACTTCGAATTTTTAATTTGTACTTGTTCATCATCATCAAAGGATGGGATATTAGAGTATAGAACGTACTCATGTCAAGATCTTCAGGTGTGTAATCGGGTAAAAGCATCATAAGTCCCAAATTTAAAATCGGTTCTATGTATATCGTTGTATATTTATTCTTGGGTCCAACAATATTAGATTTTCTTTTTGTTTCCGGAATAAACCGGATAGTAAGAATACCACACATCATTCTTTTTTTTTTTTTAGTTGTCACTTAATTCCTATTAGACTATGACTGCATTAACAACTTTAGTGTCCTAATCTTTCCCTAAAATAAATATTCCGTACAACCTTTGACATTGTATCGTAGTAGTGTGTACTTGTTCATTGACTTAATTATGAGAATAAGACTAGAAAATAACTAGTAATATAAAAAAAATTATCCATGTCATTTTCATATTAAATAGAAAAATAATACAATACTAAAAAATAAGCCTAATTTCATAAATATATGCTCAATGGAGTTATTCTTTTTATATACCGAGTAAAGTGTGCACTAAATTTGTACATCTAATTTTTTGCACCAATTGATGTCACATGATCACACTCATATTGTTTATTTTTAAATACAATAGGTCGTGTGGTGCAGATATAAAAAATAATTCTGATTTATAAGCATTGATCTTCATATATTAAATTAAAAATGAAAAAAAAAAAGACATACAAACTGAAAAATAAAACTTTAAGGATGTGTTTGTTTTAAGTATTAATAAAAAAAGAATGAAAAAGATAACGTCGGACCCACCTTATTTCTCTTATTCTTATGTCTAAATACATATTTTGGGTCCAGTATTATCACATAAAAATAATACCGACCCAGATAAATAGTATATTAAAAACTACATACACCCTCTTAAATAAATCCACTTTTTGTGAGTTTAAATAGTTCAATTGAGATGTATTTTGTCAAAAGATATTTTTATCCTCAAGTATTTATAGGATATAAATATCATTCTTTATCTCAAGAGTTTTTTAGTAATTTAATGTTTATACTATTATTCAATACTTTATCCAAACAACGTATTAAATAAAATAAATATAGAATTTATTATTTCTTAATATTTGAATTAAATATAAAAAAAAAGAGATTATTATTATAATTAGTCCAATGACTGAATGGACAGGTAACGGATGAACATTATTGGCTAATCCGATATTTCCTAACATTTAAACCAAACAGATCCTATATGAATACATAATTATGAATATATATTCAATAGAAATATTTTTTTATACGCATCATTTTATGTGGCAGAAAAATGTGGTATGCCTGCAACTGGGGTAGTGAGTGACCAGAAGTTCTGGAAAAACAGGTATGAAATCCAGAAGACTGGTCAAAAGGTAGACCAGTCAATGATCTGTGGGATGGCATTGGACTACTGCTAGAGTTTGCAAAATAGTCATTTATGTGTAATTATTGGTGTCAGACTGCTGAAGGACTGTGTGATAAAAAAAAAAAAAAAAAAAGGAGATTGCTCTTTTCGTTCTCCCCCCACACAGGACTCAGTAGGTATTATTGGCTAATTTGTAGAGCCTCATTCAGCTTTTTCTGACAAAAAACATGTACTGTAATTAGCCTTTTTCTTTAGAGAGAGGGAAAAGAGAGGGAGAGCCAGGACGTCATGGGTTCAACTATAATACTGTAAAATAATTTTTTGGTATCATATTTTATTTTATGTTTTAATAAAATCTTGACATGTATACTAATTACTTATTTTATATTTGTGGTAATTATTTTTATTATTTTTTTAAATATTATTATAATGATNCATTTATAAGCATTGATCTTCATATATTAAATTAAAAATGAAAAAAATAAAAGACATACAAACTGAAAAATAAAACTTTAAAGGTGCGTTTGTTTTAAGTATTAATAAAAAAAGAATGAAAAAGATAACGTCGGACCCACCTTATTTCCCTTATTCTTATGTCTAAATACACATTTTGGGTCCAATATTATCACATAAAAATAATACCGACTCAGATAAATAGTATATTTAAAACTACATACACCCTCTTAAATAAATCCACTTTTTGTGAGTTTAAATAGTTCAATTGAGATGTATTTTGTCAAAAGATATTTTTATCCTCAAGTATTTATAGGATATAAATATCATTCTTTATCTCAAGAGTTTTTTAGTAATTTAATGTTTATACTANGCTGTCTCGTATATACCGAATTCTTTCTTTGTGCCTTCTTTTATTTTTTTTTATCTCAAAATTAGATGAAACGAAATACAATTTTTTAGCTTTGGCAAAGAAGATTTTTGGTCGAACAAATATAAGCAATTTAGTCAAGTNTTTTATCCAAACAACGTATTAAATAAAATAAATATAGAATTTATTATTTCTTAATATTTGAATTAAATATAAAAAAAAAGATTATTATTATAATTAGTCCAATGACTGAATGGATAGGTAACGGATGAACATTATTGGCTAATCCGATATTTCCTAATATTTAAACCAAACAGATCCTATATGAATACATAATTATGAATATATATTCAATAGAANCTATATGTAAAAATTAAATTAAAACTTAGTTAAAATTTTCAGAATTTGGTCGTTCAAGTACTAAATAGAAATTAAATGCATGTCTTAACTGTGTCAATTACAAATTGCCCAAAGAATAACAAAGCGATCCGAGTGATGGCTAAATTGAATTCCATGAAAGCTTATACTTTTTGCTTTGTCAACGTGATAACTGTCCATATCATTTCACGCTTCTTATGACTTAGCGACCCCTTGTCTTCCAATTCACATTTGGAGAGCAAGATCCAATTATTTTTAAATGCAAGTTAACCAAGGTAATCGGTTAAGCATAGTCGAAATGCATTGAAATTCATGCATATACACACACAACGGTTGCGGATCAATTTCGACATTGTACCGCAGTGATACCATAATCTTATCCTAACTCAATAATGCGGGGTTAGATTATAGCATTGCACACACATTACCATGAACTGAATTGGATATTGATTAACCAAGTGGGTAGCTTTAAGATTCCAAGTTGATTTTCTTAGTACTAAATTGAGAGCGTAGAAAGAAACTACTAGGACAAAAAGGATGCTGAAAATTGGTTCACTCAATGAAGAATCCGCCGACGTAATAGTGCCTGGCCCAAAAAAATGAAGACTCTTTGGAGCATATAAAAATACTGATTTTCTTAATAGTGTATTAGATTTGATGAAAAATTTGGGAGGAAAATGGAATAGAGAGAAAAGTTTTCTATTGTTTGATCAATATTTAACAAAGAAAGGTTTTCCATTTTGGATGAAAAGTTGGGGGAATAAATTTAACAATTGCACTCATCTGTGTTCAAATTTCCTTCCACTTTTCGCCCGATTTCGGATGGATTAAAAAGTGTGGCCGGGAGGGATGAACTTTCTTTCTGTTTTTTGTTACCTCCTGTTTTCCGTTCTCAACCAAACAGAGTAAAATGTCATTTTTCCTTCCCTTTTTCATCCACCTAGTTTTCATCATACCAAACACACCCTATAGGAAAATAAGAGGGAAATAAAAATTGGAGGAAAAATCTTTCTCTTTGGCCCACAATTTTTTTTCCTTCCAAAAGTGGGAGGAAAGTGAGAAAATTTGAAGACAAGTTATTTTTTGGACAAATTGATATTTTTACCCTTAAATATACTTTCAAACATTATCCTACAATTTCAATTCAAAATTTGCATATTTCTCAAGAAAACACTTCTAAATATCCTATCTCACATATTTTTCATGTGTATGTTTTTTGGCTATTATTTTTGGTGTACATATTTATTTTTATAACTGATTAATTGTCATTGAATATTTTCAAATCTTGAAATTTTATTTATACTAAAAAATATTATTTTTTATGTAAGGATACTATAATAAATTAAGTATATTTATCTATTATTCTCTTCCACTTTTCCTTCAATATCAAACAATTGAACATTAATTCCTTTAACGTTCTATCCATCATACCAAATAAAAAAGAGAGTATTTTTTTGTCCACCAAAAATGAAAAATTTATTCTTCCTATTTTTTCATCCTTCTAATTTTCCACTCCTCATGCCAAAACAGAGTATAAGTAAATCTCTTTTCAATCTATGTTGTTGCTCCACAAAACATTTGTTGCAATATTTAAATGGTATAGAAAAGACTATTGATTCTTATACATGGTACAAAGCCAAACTAGGGGCAGGACCCAAAAAAAAAAAAAATTGTTCATGGGTGAACAGTTGAACAATATTTATTCTAACACTTAAAATTCATTCAACACAAAAAAGCCC